TTGTATAAATTATTATATAATGTATACATTTTATATGAGTTCCAGTAGATCTCTACAGTCTCATAAGAATCATGTCATGCCGTTAATCGAGATTAATAATCTGTAATTTATCCAACACACATATGCAAACGTGTTATCATGTTTTCTTATAATTGACTGAACTAGCATTTTAATCCCTCAGTGGTATCTATATGTGTCTATAAAGATCATAGGTAAGAAATGCAGATGAGAATGAATAAGACCTCAGGGCTCTTCTGGAGCAGCATCTGGACTTCATTACCCATATTTACACAATATGTGCATTTAAGCCCGTTTTGATCTCTCCGTCTCCCCCCCCCAATCTTTCCAGCATTTAATGGACTGCCAAACCTTACATCTCGAATGAGGCCGAATCTACAGCAATAGGACCACTATCGTCAAAGATGATTGACAATTAGCATACAGTTTGGATTGGCGGTATGGTTCTGTTCTGGGCAAGAACTCCCTGCGCCTCCATGCAGCCTAGCATGGACAAGAGCAGGATAATCAGAAGGCTGAATCCTGACTGACAGAGGAGGAGCTGGGGATGGAGGAGGGTAATTAGCTATTATAATCAGAAAACTGCTGATAATACTGAGGGACCTTATATATGAATGCTTAGATAGGTGTCGTATTCCTATAGGTAGATGGGGATCAGCTGAAGGTCAGCTGATGCGAGCTTGACTAACGTGACCTGCCAGAACTAATGCTACACTTGATATCTTGGCTCACGACCGCAAGCGGAGAGCACTGATTCTCATGCTGCATGGTTTGTGTGGAGGTCGATGCACTTTTACTGAACGACAGGTCAAGGTTGCGCTGTCTGAGGCAAACCCTGTGGCTGAAAAAAAAAATGTATATATATATATATAATTTTTTTATTTTTATTCTTGGGCACAAGCTTTACTAATAAATATTTGTTTGACGATGAAAATTACCGTATGCCGACCTGATAATAATTTCCATGAAATTATTCACTCACTATTGATACAGGGGGTTGCAAAAATGTCTGAAAGTCATTTGGACATTTCACTCACACACTCAAGCGGTTTCTCACACCATAACGGGATATTCTTTTAAGACAGAAAACAAAAGCGCTGGATGAGGTGCTATTTATCTACAATCCATTGTATGGAAGTAAAACAAAAACAAAACAAAAAAAATTTATTTTATCTCACAATTCTGAGGACAAGAAAGTCAAGACTTTATTTATTTGTTTATTAATTTTTATTATTTTTTTTAATGCCGTGGCATAAACAAGCTTCCATTATTGCTCTGTACTGAAGGTAGACACAATTTATATCCATGCATATACAAAAGAGTTTCTTAGTATTTTTGACTTGTTTTCCAATAGAAATATCAATGGCAGGCCTACATTAACTTGAGAAGCAAAATGATGTAAGACATCGAGTGTTGTTTTCTGGAGAAAAAATAAAAAGTATCAAATTGGAGTGAGTTTAAGCTCGGGCTTCTGCTACAAAAGAAAATATTTTGTCAAATATTTTCTGACCAAACAGTTTTGGTGACCACTCAATCCCATGTTATGGACAAAAACTTGGCATTTATTAAAATATCGTTTCACGTTCCACGGAAGGAAAAATGCCAAATCAACACATCAGCGTTGGTATTTTACTGTTAGCTTTAAGTTTTTACAAATAAATAAAAAAGTCATGCTCTTCCAAGTTTTATTTCAGTTCATATTATTCAGAGAAAGATTGTCTTATTTCTGATCTCAGACCTGTAGGTGCCTTATCTAAACCAGTTTATCATAAAAACCAAATGTATAAGGTCTGGTCATGAAATAAAACGGCAGAGTAAATTTATCTGCCCAGTTTTCCTGTCTCCTGAAGATGAACACTTATCAGTCAGCCATGTGGCACGGCCGCACATCTTTAAGCCATTTGTGGAGAAGGCAGATAAAGAAGCTCATTCAGAGGTCCCTTCATCTCAGGGGAAGTGGATGAGACTCGCTCTTAAGAGACTGACTTATAGCAGACCTGCTGTCTCGAGCACCCAGTATTTCTGACTATTTTAACGTCTGTTGATGAATTTGATACCGTTTTTAACTTTTTTTAATATGCTTGAAAGAAGTCTCTTGCTAACCAAGGCTGCTGTTGATCAAAAATACAGTAAAAGCAGTAATATTGTGAAATATCATTTAACTGTTTTCTATTTGAATCGTTTTAAAATGTCATTTATTCCTGTGATGCAAAGCAGAATTTTCAGCAACATTGCTGAATAGCAATTAGATGAAAAGCAAAGCTCAAATGAACAGCTTTTTTCCCCTGTGAAATACAAATTAACAGCATGTACCTAGGGTTAGTTTTAGAGTTGCTGCAAGTAATTATGCATAATTTACTGTTAATACTATAGTAAGTGCATGTAGTATATGTAACAAGGACACTGTAATATAAAGTGTTACCCCTTTCTCAACGAAGCGATATCGTCCTCTTTTGGAAGACCAAACAAAGTAGTTTCGCTTTCACAACGAAACACACAGCGTCTTCACGACATGGTGGCGGCGGCAACAACAATACTACAGCGAGAATAAAAGTTACGCCTTCTTTCTTTGCGTGAACATTTGGGCGGCGTTATGCAAATCTTCCCACACAGTGACGTAGACATGTGGGGGCGTGTTAGAACGAGCCGTTTTAGGTAGGCGTGGCTGACTCTTAACTTTTATAAAGAATATCTCTTTGGATTTGAGACTTTAGTCTTTGCAACTTTACAGATCTTCTTTATGCACCAAGAGCTTGTAACACTCCAAAGAGAAAGGAAAAATTGAAATCGCATCATATGACCCCTTTAAATTTGAAAGTAAACTTAGCTAGTCCTCTTCCGTTTCATAAATGTGTGTTGTGAGGAAGGCCGCAGTGCTTGATCTCAGCTGTTACATAATTGCATCCAGCTGCTGTTGATTGGAGCTGATTTGTGGTTCCACTGTTATACTGTGGCTCACTGCTCTGAACACACTGACACACAAACACACCAGCAGTAGAGACCCACAAAAACAAGCTCTTTGACAAACAGCGTACAAACCATGATGCTTAACCCAGTAAAGCCTGACATATGAAAAAATAGTCAGAAACGTCCGTTTTTTTTAAACGTGACAGTCTGAGACTCTCTCTCTCTCTCTCTCTCTATATATATATATATATATATACACACATATATATATATATATATATATACATATACATGTGTGTGTGAAAGTTTTTGCATGTGTGTTTTTGCAAAGTATCATATATGATCCATCAGGCTTTTATGACTAATACAGTATAGTATGATATAGTGGTAATACGGAGCTCATACTTTTGAGTAAAAGAAACCTCAATTTTAATCAGAGGCTCAAAATTAGCAAAATTATGTAATTTGGTGCAGATTTTTATATTATATGACCAGAGAGAAAGATGAAATTCTGATATCCGGAAATATTACTAACAATATAAAAGTTGTTCTTACATTTACTTTGTAAAAATGCCCTCTTGAACTCGTGGTTCACTTGTCTGTTTACTGTGAAATCTTTACTGATTTTTATAATTATACTAAAAGGCCTTTTACTTACTAAAAAAGTATAAACTACCAATCAGGTGACAGAAGCCTTGTAGTAGATTGTGTCCCATGGAGATAGCCTATTAATCTTTCGCATACTGTTTTTCACCTACTAGGCAAGTATGCATATTCGGATGCAGCCATACTTTACATGAATGCAGCTGCGATTGCTTGTCCAGTGCAAATGCAAGCATGTTGATTGGCCCAAAAAAAAAACAACAACAAAAAACAAGCACACGCCACAGTTGTGTTCACATACTTAAGTATGTTTCTGGCCTTATGCTTTGTTCACACATTTAACTGGTAATGTTACAAATTCTCATCCTGGCAAATTGCCAGAACTGATTTACCCCGAATTTCTCTTGTTCACACAAGATCTGTAAAATAGAAATGTACCAGTAATTTTGTGGAAAGGGCTATATGTGTGAAACCTCCTTATGATATTCTAGTGCAGACATGCCCAGGTCCTTCATACTGTATATAGGTCTATGGGATCATTTTATGACTTGCGAAAATTTGGTCAAATTTCTCCTTGGAAAGTCCAACACCTTGAAAAATCACCCCAAACACATGGAATGTATTGTTTTTATTGAATCAGTATATTCAGAACACTGACACTTGCCAATCCAGCGGCAACATAGTAATGAAGATGTAATGATTTAGAGGAATCCTCAATCCTGTTCTCCCATATTTCAATGTGTACATAACAGTTTTCATTTCATGGAAAATGAAAATAAACTACTTGAAAATGCCCGAATTTCTCTTGTTCACACAAGATCTGTAAAATAGAAATGTACCAGTAATTTTGTGGAAAGGGCTATATGTGTGAAACCTCCTTATGATATTCTAGTGCAGACATGCCCAGGTCCTTCATACTGTATATAGGTCTATGGGATCATTTTATGACTTGCGAAAATTTGGTCAAATTTCTCCTTGGAAAGTCCAACACCTTGAAAAATCACCCCAAACACATGGAATGTATTGTTTTTATTGAATCAGTATATTCAGAACACTGACACTTGCCAATCCAGCGGCAACATAGTAATGAAGATGTAATGATTTAGAGGAATCCTCAGTCCTGTTCTCCCATATTTCAATGTGTACATAACAGTTTTCATTTCATGGACAATGAAAATAAACTACTTGAAAATGGCTTCTTTTACCCTGATATCTGTTCATTTTCACTGGGGTGTCTGTGTGTCCAACTAAAGAGGTCAAGTGTGTGTGTGTGTGTGTGTGTGTGTAGAGGGATTGACCTGTACAATGTACTACCTACATTCAGAAATACAATTTATCCAGCTTAATTTGAATGTTTTAGGTGGTATTTACAACAACAAAAAGTCCATTGCCAAAAATATATATATGTTTCAGATTTTCCAGTTCTGGGATTCATAGAATGGTTCATTCTTCAGGACAATACATACCACATAAAAATTTTTTTAACACTGTTCATCTTTTCTAATAAAAGTTGTTAGCAGTTATTTTCAATACATTACTTTTTTTGTATTAAAAAGAGCTTTGCTAATAAGTCATAAAGCTTTCTCACAGTAGGCTTTTGACCAACACATCTTTCTGCACTGCTTAGCTGATATTAGATTTTAAAATCGCAGTATGAGGAATAAATAAACAGAATGGCTCTGAGGACAACAGCTCTAAAACAACGTAAGAACAAGAGTCACGATAGACGTGAATGTCTTTGGTCCGCTGAGGATAATATCTCCCATTCCGTCTGGCAGATTCAATTCAGAGTTCAAACATGCTTAAGTGCAGTTCTTTCATCTGACGACACAAACGCGATCTTCTGGATTCTTGAAGAATGGTGTGCGGTTACCTCACATGATCCACTTAATTGTACCAGCTGCAGTGGTTGTATTGTTTAGTGCAAAAAACAAAAAAACGACCCTTTTGTTATTAGAATATCATAGAAGAATAGGAATTAAAAAACGCATGTTCCAGTTTGATGCTTTCGAAATAAAAGGCTGTGAACACTAATATAAACGACTGCATCGCTCTCCCCAGTATGTTTTGTTTTACTTCATTCACATCTATTACTAACCTTTATATTATTGTAACGTGAGTTTCTATAGTAACGCGAGTAAGAAACAAACTTAACAGCACCGTTTGGAAAAGAACAGTCATTAAGACTCCTGAATGCACTCCCATCGAACATTTCCAAACTCTAAAACAGCCTTCATCTTCATTAGCAGTGTGGATCCGCAGTTTCCATGACTCTTGTTGACATCCAGAGAGTAGTCTGCTCCCCTCAAAGACTGCTTCAGATTGCTGATGTGTTTCAATCTCCATAGCAACAGACCATTAACAGGTTGCTGCCTTCAACTGACCTCGTTTTCAGTTCGGCTCCTATGGCCACTAGGGATCCTCGTCCATATCATCGAGGTTTGGAGCCATGATGAAGTGCTTCGGATACACCAGACTGTGCTCGTAAGCGTACTTTTCCCAGCGTGCATCGTCGCTCTCGTGAGTAATGTAGCGTTCCCTTCGGCGCGTCTCAAACTCTCGCAGATCGAGCCACGTCTGGTAGTCCTGGGACAGTGCAGACATGAACAAGTTGAGGTATAAAGCTCTAAAACGTTCTGAGAAGCCATTTTACAGGTTTCTAGGCTCCTTACCTGTAGCCACGGATGACTGAGGGTCTTATCCACACTGTAACGTTTCCTCATCTTGACTTGGAGAAGGTTGTTGATCAGATCTGTAGCTATAGAGTTAATTTGGAGATTGTGGACATAGTTAGACTGGTTAAAACATGATCTGGGCCACATTTCCAAAAAGAGCAATCTGTTCCCTTACAAAAAAAGTTTATTCAAATGTACTGTTGGTGTACTTGTTTTAACCGAAAAATAAGAGAGTATACTTCTAGTGTACCTTATGTGTACATCTCTGACAGTACATACATTTGCTTTCTCATAATTCCTTTAAGAAAATTATTAGAAAATGAGTAAACAATACTTGGCATATGCTGACAGATATAGTGAAATATATGGCCTATACACATGAAATAATAGTCTGAATTTTTGCAAATAGTTTCACAATCTTTCGACTATATATATATATATATATATATATATATACACACAGAGTTCTGGCATGAAACTCTAGATGGCACAGTCCTATAGGGCTAACTCAATCTCACCTAATGACATCATTATCATATGGCACAGCTGATTGGTTCTCTCCTGTATCGGTAGCCAATGAGCTCGCTGCTCAACATTCAAATATATGACTAGTGCTTGCCGTAGCAGTGCAGCTTGATTCAGAAACCCTCCACCTTCCCCAGCTCCACCTGTATAGATCTACCTGTATAGCAGCAGCAGCGTAGCAGATCTATTCCGCCAAGACCAAATACATTAACATTGTCATGTACATTACCATGCCAATGCCTCCGAGAGTTGTCATGACAGAAATAAATATATATAGCTTGCAAATGTGTTTTTTGTTGAATATCTTGAGTATCTCCAATAATATGTCTTCGTAAGATGATATGTAAATGCTTAGTATTATGATCAAAACATATAATGCTATGCAGTAAAATGATGATTGAGAGATGAACAAATAAATGTTCCTTAAAAGCCTGATGATCAGATTTGATGAACATTTCAACATGATTTTTTTGAAGAAAAAAAAAAAAGAAAAAAAATATGCATGGATAATGAAGCCTAGCTTGCTTCAGGTCAGTAAGTGATCATCTTGAAATATCACTGTATCGAACATGATACAGTAGGATTTTCTAGGGTTAAGTGTTCTAGGTATACTTGGCTTGTATTTGTGTTTGCCATTTTTATAGTGTAGCTAACAACATTATACTTTTTTATAGTGAAGCTTAACTGATAAACTTACATCTTCAGGTTTGTAGTAACAAATCAGCTTTGGGGTTAAATAGCTTATAACTAGCTTTTAAGGAATGAATGGCTTATAAACAGCTTAGAGAAAATAGTACATTGGTGGAAGTGAATCTGATTGTTTTTGTACACAATGCTATTAACCCAATAATTAGTAGTTTACTGAGTATAATTCAAAGTGTACTTCCATAAACTAGAAAGTGGGCTAGAGGTATATAACTGATAGTATACCTATAAGTTCATTTGTAGTACGGTTCAGAGTAGAGTCACAGCAACACAAAAGAAAAACTTATGTAAACTTAAATGTAAACCAGTTTACTTTTGTTACACTGAAATTACACTACACTACACTAAAAAAAGTGGGCCAATTTAGTCCCAATTATTGGAATACTGGAGTGTTTTTTTAGTATACTTAATGTATACTTAGGGGAAAAAATGATTGAATTTCAAGTTTACTTCATAAAACAGGGCTCTTTGAAATCCGTGTTATTTTCTTTTTTCCAAAAAAATTTTTTTTTCATCTTAATTTTTCTATACTCTGTTTTAATGGTTAAATTAAATGTTATTAATCAAAAAGCATGCCTAATTAATTGAAATCATGAAACTTACAATATTTAACAGCAATTTATTAAAAGTTTAACAAAAATTTAATTTTTAAGGCCCTATGAAATTTTTCTCAAATTCAGTTTTATTTTTACTATATTTTGGACTCCATTTTAATAGTTTCATTACATTTTAATAATCAAAAGCATCTCTAATTAATTGATTTTATACAAAATAATTTATTATTATTTTATTTTATTTCATTTCTTCTTTTTTTTCCAGAAATACTGTGTTGTGTATTTACGTTTTTCAGGTAAATAAATTCTGGTAAATCATTTTTTCTGGTAAATATTCCTTAAAAATTATGGTTTAATAATAATTTTATTAGTAATAGTAGTACTATCATTACATGAAGTAATGTATTTCTGTCAGTTTCTACAAGTTAAGCCGAACTTTGACAGGTTGCTGTGAAGACCTTTAAATTTCTTTTTGTATATGATATGCGATAGTTTTTCTCAAAAGAAAAAGTAAAATGCTCATGAAATGACTCTCAGAGCAGTTCTAGAGATTATGTTTGTGTTCATGTACTCATATATTGAGTTGGAGGCTGAAAACACAGCGAGCATCACGCGCACCTTAACCATTCATTCACACCAAGACACGCAAAACATACAGGATCCATATTTAAATAGTATTTTTGCAGCTTAATATTCACAGACACTAATCTATATTGAGTTTTGATTTAAGTTTATCAACCTACTTTTGATTTATCCATCCAAAATCTGGCAAATTCTGTGGCATTCTGCGTTATACAGTAAATTCCATTTTTATTACTGGATTCTTTGATTCCGTCTGTGTTTTCTGCATCACAGAAATCATAAAGGCCCTAATAAAATGAACTTGAGGAATACTTTTTTTTGTATTTTTTTGTAAGTTACAGTAGTTTAAGTACAAACTACAAAAATAAATAGTTTTATTATTTTGTGCAGGGAAATCAATTACATTTAAATAATCCTTTATTAGATCATCTAATGTGCATTTGCAATGTCAATTTCACAAATTTATTAAAGGGTTTAGTTGCGAGCTTCCAGAGATAATGACAGTGATAACTGTCAGCAATGCTCAAATCTCAGTAAGGAGCTTCGTCTCAGAGAGGAAGAGGAAGAATTTAATGTAATGTAAGCATCATGAATTTATATTTTTATTTAAATGCACTTGAAGTCTATTCTATGACAACTGCTTTTTGGAAACATCCTGAAGGATGATTAACTGTATAAATGTTTCTGCAATCTATTAAGCACAGAGCTATTAGCAAACCCTACCATTCAAAAGTATGGGGTTGGTTTTGAAAAAAGTCTCTTATTCTCATCAAGACTGCATTTACTTGATCAAAAAATATAGTAACAGTAACATTGTGATTAATATTGCTATAATTTAAAATATTTTTTTTTTATGCATTTAAAATAGAAAATGCTATTTATTCCTGTGATGGATGGCAAAGCTGAAAGTTCAGTAACATTAACAAGAAACATTTCTTATTATTATCATATTATCAACCCCCCCCCCATATTTCGAATGGTACTGTAGTAAAATAAAATTAAAACAAGTATAGAGCTGTAAGCTTCAACAATAAATTAAACTACTGTAATGATGGATTTGAGTATAATTGCGCCACAAAAATAAACCAAACTATAAAACTAAACATGTAATGATGTGAAATGTAGAGACAGAGAAATGGCATTTATAGTGTTGTAGAGGAGTGTTACAGACTGAAATTGGGAGAGGCTGGTATAATCTTTCAGGTCTTGGGCGGAAAGAACTATTCTAAACAGACATGGGGGTGGACAGTCTGCTCGCTGTCTGACAAGACAGACATCTAGACATCTCCCTCTTTCTTCTAAAGCAAAAGATAGAAATTACACACTACAGTACAGATGATTACAAATGAACACCTCATCCTCAGTCGTTTGTAAAACAAAGTAATGCATTATTGCCTATTTCTTCTGAAAATGTACAAAACCAGTTTATCTTTGGTTTTCTCAGTAACTGCACCTACTCTGTAAAAAAAACAAAACATGGAGGTGCTGAGAAAACAGGTTCATTCTTTAGAAAGTAGCTTGACATCAGTAAAGTGCGGCTAATTACCTTCTGCAGAGATCTCTTTCCAGGGTGTTGATGGGTACATGAACGCTGCGTTCTGGATTTGGTCGTTAATGTCCTCGTCCTCATTAAAGGGGAAGGTGCCACTCAGACTGACATAGATAATGACTCCAACTGACCACATGTCCAGGGAACGGTTGTAGCCTTTACTGCGCAGCACCTCTGGGGCCAGATATGCTGGTGTGCCCACCACTGAACGCCGGAAAGATTTTTCCCCGATGATCCGAGCAAACCCAAAGTCGCACAACTTTACCTGGACCAAGAGAGTGATCTCACTGAGCAAGTGGTCTAGTTTGGTCATGTTTTATCACAGGGATTTCAAACATTTTTGTCAGCTGAACCTGTTTAAGTATTTACTTGAAGGACCTCCTGAGAATTTAAGATAATATTCCAGTAATTTATCAACACATTCACAGTTCTATGATGTTGGTTAATGGTTACAAATAAACATCTAAATTATTTCATTCTTTTCTTGTGTTATATTTTAAATGCTTTTTATTTTAAAATGATGTATTTATTGTAATTTTACATTTTTTTTTATTTAATTAATTATCAGCTTTCAACTCAATAACCTCTTGCAGTTCGCAAAGCCAGTCTGGGAAACCTGGTGCTTAGATTATGGTGATTTTTCAAGAATGAAGTGTTTAATTCACTGTTTTTTTACCTGAGGAAACGGCTCCGCAGATGCCAACAGCACATTTTCTGGCTTCAGGTCACAGTGAACAATGTTCTTGAAATGGAGATGTCGCAAAGCCACAAGGATCTATCACAGTAAAGTAGTCACTTATTGGCATGCAGGTATCAACTGGATGGTCTTTTTAACGCTTTGAATGGCCACCAATGTAATATCCACTTCTAAAGTTAAAAGTAAAACCCTTAAAGGGATAGTTCACCCAAAAATTTAAATTACCCCATGATTTACTCACCACCAAGCCATCCCAGGTGTATATGACTTTCTTCTTTCAGACGAATACAGTCGGAGTTATATTAACAAATGTTCTGGCTCTTCCAAGCTTTATAATGGCAGTGAATGGGTGTTGAGATTCAATAGTCCAAAAGAAGTCCAATAAAGTGCATCCATCCATCATAAAAAGTACTCCATAGGCTCCAGGGGGTTAATAAAGGCCTGTCTGTCTGTCTGTACTGCCGTACGTGCGTTCACGAGTGGAAATTCTCTGACATTTTATTTTACAAATCCTTGTTTTGTACTTCTAATTCGTAACTGGTGTTTTGTTTTTCTCTCTCCTCTGCACTTACGCGTTCGTCACTTCTCACCAGAGCTTACACTACACTTACATCATCCGCTGGAACGCCAACTCTCTAGTGAATGCGAGAGACGAATGAGCGTACGACAGTTAGCGGAAGCTGGAGATTGCGGTTTATAAAGTTTTAAATATGGATATTTTCCTTTATTAACCCCCTGGAGAGTCGCCAGCTCTGGACTCCATGTCCCAGAATCCTTCCTTGGCTTACACCTGTCTGCAGTCATATATTTTTATATATATATATTTTTTTTAATATAACGCTGATTGTATTCGTCTGAAAGAAGAAAGTCATACAACATAGGGTAACTTTCATTTTTGGGTGAACTATCCCTTTAATTTGTTTCTAATTATCATCAACTTTGTCTGATCGGATAAATGGAAGAATGTGATTTCTCCCCAATTTGAAATATTCTAGTTGAGCAGCTAACGATTTCATATGACAGCAAACAAGCTTTCTGGACTGATATTGTAGTTTGATACCAGTAAAATAGTAATGTATTTAAGAGGAATACTGTGCTAGTAAAAGGTTAGTTTAATAAAACCTTATCCAATCTCATATTACATTACATATATGTGACCCTGGACCACAAAACCAGTCTCAAGTCGCTTGGGTATATTTTTAGCAATAGCCAAAAAAACATTGTATGGGTCAAAATTATCGATTTTTCTTTTATGCCAAAAATCATTAGGATATTAAGTAAAGATCATGTTCAATGAAGATATTTTGTACATTTCCTACCATAAATATATTAAAACTTAATTTTTGATTAGTAATATGCATTGCTAAGAACTTAATTTGGACAACTTTAAAGGTGATTTTTTCAGTATTTTGATTTTTTTGCACCCTCAGATTCCAGATTTTCAAATAGTTGTATCTCGGCCAAATATTGTCCTATCCTAAAAAAAACATACATCAATGGAAAGCTTATTTATTCAGCTTTCAGATGTTGTATAAATCTCAATTTCAAAAAATTGCCCCTTATTACTGGTTTTGTGGTCCAGGGTCACATATTATTGTTCTAATGTTTGGGATCAGTAACATTTTTTTTTTTTAATCCTGAAAAAAGTATCACCGTTTCTACACAAATATGAAGCAGCACAACTGTTAATCAGGAATGTTTCTTGAGCAGCAAATCAGCATATTATAATGATTCTGAAGGATCATGTGATCAAGGATCAAGGACTGGAGTGTAATGATGCTGAAAATTCAGCTTTGACATCTGGAATAAATTACAATTTAAAATAACCGTTTGAAGAAATGTAATCATGTTAGTCTTTTTATAGCAGTTTTGATCAAATAAATGGAAACTTGGTGAGTACAAGAGACTTCTTGCAAAACATAAAAAAATATTACTGACCCCAAACTTTTGAACAGTATTGTATGAATGCTTGGTCTGATAGGAAGATAGTTGGGCAGTGAGACCAACACCACTGACAGCGGGCATTGGGCTACATGTCGAGAACATACGTGGATGCAATCACAATCATCTAACACCGCAGACAGAAACATCTTTGCCACATAACAGCAGCTCTGTGGCTTCAGATCCATGGCTAATGGATGAGCTCCCGAGGCCCCCAGGGGCCCCACTGCTCTAATCAAGCCACAGACTCACCGCTCTAAGGCTATGTCCACACGAAGCCAGAGCTTTCCCTATCCGATCTTTTTTTTCCCCTCGTCTCAAGAAATATCTGCATCCACACAAAACCACGAAACCGACACAAATCGATGTAGTATACATGCCAGACCAGTATGTGGCACTGTAATTCTGCCACAGAGATACACTACAAATGGAGAAGAAGACTTGGACTATGCGCATAAACCTTGCGCGCGGTATACAAACGAACATGGAACAATACATTTATTAATCTGTGTTAATGTTAGTTAATAAAAAGACAATCGTTCAGTGTTTGTTCATGTTTTTGTTGCTGTTACGTGACGTAGCGGTGTCTGACTAAGGGCGAGACATGGGCTGATCATGTCATCGTTTCAGAAAATATACGGATTCGCTGTCCACACGAAAACACAAGGGTGGCGTTTTCAGATTTATCCACTCTGGGACCCGGTTTCAAAAAATATTAGTTTCGCTCTCCCAAAACGCCGGATCCGTCAGGACGAAACGCCTATATGATACAAAATTTACGCGTATACAGCTAAACGCGTCTCCGTGTGGACGGGGCCTAATTTAGCTCTAGATGAGATCCAGACTACTGCCTCATCGAAACAAATTGCACTTCAGAATACATAAGATGGATACCAAAATGGATTTGAAAGGATAAGAGGAGACAAAGTTTTGCAAACCTGTGTGACCAAAAACTTGGTGATGCGCTCTGGAAGTTTGCTCTTCTCACTGGACAAGATCATCTCCAGCATGTCTCCATGGAGTTTCTCCATGACAACAAAGACTCTTTCTGGAGTCTCAAACATACACTCCAGGTTTACAATGCCAGGATGGTGCAAATTCTATGAGAACAAGAACAACAGTCACATATTAAACATATTGAAGGGTTAGTTCACCCAAAAATGAAAATTCTGTCATTAATTACTCACCCTCGTGTTGTTCCAAACCCGTAAGACCTTCGTTCATCTTCGGAACACAATTTAAGATATTTTTGATGAATTCTGAGGGCTCTCTGACCCTCCCATAGACAGCAAGGTAACTACCACATTCAAGGTCCAGAAAAGTACCGAGATGATCGACAAAGTAGTCCGTGTGACATCAGTGGTTCAACTGTAAAGTTACGAAGCTACGAGAATACTTTTTTGCGCAAACAAAAATAACGACTTTATTCCACATTTTCGTCTCTACTGCGTCACTTGTGCGTTCACGACAGTATCATGGGGCGAGCGTGTGGCGGCGCCGGCGCTGACCCAGATCCGGCGTGATGACATCATTACGCCGGATCTGGGTCATCGTCGCCACATTCTTATTTCAT